CTGTTGGGGTCGTCGTCACCGGCAACGTCGTTGTCACCGGCAACGTCGTTGTCACCGGCAACGTCGTTGTCACCGGCAAGGTCGCTGCCACTTTATAACCAGCGGTACCGGCGGTCTTCTATCCGGATTCAATCCTGCAATCTGCAATCTGGAACTCGAATCTTTACGCAGTCAATAGCAGGCATGTTGGTCGGGCAGTTGGTCTTCTGCTGCGTGCACTGTTCTTGACAGAAGCCTGACTTAGCAGGATCCGCTAGCTTGTCTTTTCTAGCATCATAGAAAGTCTCGCACTTCTTAATGTCCAAATTCACACCCGCCAACGCGGCGGTCGTTGCAGGAAGAGTTACAGCCGTCGTGGCTGCAGGAAGAGCGGTAGTTGCTGGAGAAGTTGTAGCCATCGGCGGGGTTGTAGGAACGATAGGAGTGGTGTAGCCTCTCCATTAAGCAATCTGCAATCTGGAACTCGAATCTTTACGCAGTCAATAGCAGGCATCTTGGTCGGGCAGTTGGTCTTCTGCTGCGTGCACTGTTCTTGACAGAAGCCTGACTTAGCAGGATCCGCTAGCTTGTCTTTTCTAGCATCATAGAAAGTCTCGCACTTCTTAATGTCCAAATTCACCCCCGTCAACGCGGCGATCGTTGCAGGAAGAGTTACAGCCGTCGTGGCCGCAGGAGGAGTGGTAGTCGCCGAAGCTGAAGGAGTGCCAGCATCTTCTTCCTCAAGAAGCTGGCACTCCGGTACCTTAATTTTTACACAGTCAACAGCAGGCATGTTTTTTGGACATATTTGTTCTGTGCACTGGTCTTGACAGTATTCAGACTTGGAGGGGTCGGGTAGTTTGTCCTTTGCCATGGAGTAGAACATCTCACATTTCTCAATATCGGGATGCTCGTCGTCGTCATCATCATCATCAATGAGACGGCATTCTGACAAACGAATCTTCACACACGTAATAGCCGGCATGTTAACAGGACAGTAGGGTTTTTGCACAGCACATTGTGAAACACACCACTCGGAATTGGAAGGGATCGCAAGCTTGTCTTTCGCCACGCTGAAAAAGTACTGGCACTTTTGTAGATCCTGAGCCACCACGGCGATTGGAACTAAAACGGACAAGACTCTCATCAGGGTAAGGTAAGATAGTACTGCCGAAACGTTGTATAAATGTATTAAAGACCTCAGAGTAAGAGACTGCCAGTCGGAACAGTCGGTGCCTGGAAAAAATTCCCGAGATGTGTGCGGTAGGGTGGTTCAAGCTGGTGCCTCACTTCTGTGGTTCTTTTGTGCCTTTTTTAGGTCCCACCCTTTTACCCACTTACCCAAGTCGCTGAGTGGGTCGGGTTCGTGACTTGGGATAGATACCTCACGGCCAGCGGCATCCTTTGCTGAGCAGGTGTGAAAGTTGTTCGAGGTAGAATTGATCGTGTGTGTCGAATGCATTGAGTTCAGTGGAGTCGATGTCGAGGACGGCTCTGAGGAGGCCGTCTTCGGAGACGACGGGGACGACGATTTCGCTTCTCGTTTCGCCGTCGCAGGCGATATGTCCTGGGAACTCTCGAACATCGGGGACGAGTTGGGTTGTCCTGAGATCGCCAGCGACGCCACACACCCCCTTGCCCAGTTTTATGGACTGACAGGCGACTCGGCCTTGGAAAGGGCCGAGCTGGAGTTCGTCTGACACTGAGTCGTAAAAGTAGAAACCACACCAGTTGACACGTTTGTCTAGGGTGGAGAAAAGGTACCAAAGAAGAGAGGAGACATTGGCAGTGGCGGAAATCCAGCTCGTTTCGGTGCCCGTGAGCGCCTTGACCTTGTTCAGTAAGTCGGCGTACACCTCCGCCGGACTTGCGTTGTACTCGAAACGCGTCTGGTCCGCGTCGTAGACGTTGCCGTCGTAACCGTTGGCAGCTTCGTAGCGGTTGGCAGCACCCTTGCCACCGCCGTGTTCGGCGTAGGGCTGCGCGGTGCCGCGAACAAACTGGGTGTCGTGGGCGAACTCGCCGGTCGAGTCGTATGTGTAGGTCATTAAAAAATTAGTTTATGACAACGTTACAGGCGACCTTTGGGGGCTGGGAGCATACGCCAAGCAAGACTGAGCGGCTTCTCATCGGGATGTTCCCGGCGGGCAAGGGCACGTTCCGCGACCGGTCGGACCGGGCTGGCGGGGCACGTCCTTTAACCCAACGTTGGGCCGAATACAAGCAGTTTGTGCGGGAGCACTTCAGCACGATTTGGGCCAAGCACAGCGAGTCCTACGAGGCACATGTGTCGGACTTCGAAGACGCCGACCTGCGAGCCCCGGAGTTCAACAAAGTATGCAGAGAGCTTCTTTCCTATATTCGCGCGCACCGCGCAGATGAACTCGGTTCTCGAGCTCGTGTGCAGTTGGCCGAGGGCGCGGCCGCAACTTTGTGTGTGCTGCAGCGTGTGTCGAGCGACTTCCAGACCCAGCCCGAGCTCGAGGCCTCCTTCACCCAAGATCGAGCGCGCACACCCGGGAACGTTTTGTTCGTGTGCTACGAGCTCCAGAAGCGCTGGAGCCCCGGTGGCGCGGTCTGCGCTGCGCTCGAAGATCTTCTGCGGCGCCACGTCTTCATTCCGACTATGCTACAGAAACACGGACTCTTGGAATCTGCGTACATCTCGGCAAACGGCTACAGCATGTTCGCTATCAACTTGTTGCTGCAACACGCCATCGTCCTCGGCTTTCAACCCGCAACCAAGCGACTGCGCCGCCTGGCCAGCTGCCTGGAGTTCTGCGAGCGCACCGGGCTGCGTAACTTCGAGACGTACGAGAAAACTTCCAAGACGCTCCACTTCTTCGCGTCCTCCTTCAAACAGCGTGAGAACGCAATTTTGCGTGCGGCCTCGGGCCGTGGTCGTCTCTCGCGAGAAGACCTTGCTGATAGCTACGTCATGATGTTCCGGGAACTTGCGCCGGGCGAAGCCGTAGAAATCAACTCCTGGGACCTGCAGTGGTTCGACACGGACGCGTTCTGTGCGGTGACATACGAACTAGTCACCCGCGTGGGCTTCGGCAAGCCGCATCCTAACCTGGTGCCGCTCAACATCTTTCCCCTGCTCCAGCCGTACCTAAATTACTACCGCCAGTCTGGCATGAGCATCAGCTTTGGCAAAACGGAGACGGGGTCGCTCCGCATAAGTCTCGGTTGGAACCTGCAACGTGAGGTCGCCACCGGCGGCAAGACCTGTTGGGTAACTTGCCTCACGGGCTGCTGCGCGCCCCACGTGTCCGTCACGGGCTTTACCGGCTACGAGAACGTCTTCCTTGAACGCTGGGCGCGAGACCGCCGTCACGGCGTCAGTTACGACGTCGCCGCGCCGGCCGCCGCTCAGATCATCCGGGACGTCTTCCAAGGCCACCTAAACCTTAACAAACTGCAGCAAATGTCCCATGGCAGTGCTAACACTCACGGCCTGAATCATGCCTCCACCTTTATTTGGAACAAGACATTCCTTCTGGGCGTTGTGAACGCGTATGTGAAGTACGGCATTCACCCCAAGCACGTGACCGGCTTCTTCTACACAGCCAACAGCGTCAGCCGCACGATCAACAGCAACGAGCTCACTGTCCTGGCGCCGCGAAACAAAGAGGCGAGCCGTGACCTGATTCAACGCACACAAAAAACACGAGAGCACAAAGGTATATGGGTCCACATTCATGAAGCCCAGGTGCAGGCATACTGGAACACGCGTTCTATTGCCCCCCACGAGTTCGGTGAAGTAATTAAGGACGGTGCAGCCATGCGAAACCTCCAACCCATGATTTACACGATCTGGGATAGCTACAATTCACGGGGTCATAAGATCACAACCTTGAAGGTACTGTACAATGAAGATGGTTCTCAACCAAAGGTCACGGTCGTCTTCGAGTCCCAACCCTCCAGATCTTCCCAAGAACTGCCACTTAACGGCTTCGACGTTGAAGATCTCATCCGTTCTAGTCGAGACGCACGAATCGCAGACTGGATAGCCGATGTCGACCAGCCTAGTGTGACATGTCTCGTAGAATGCGTGGTAGACGCCCGTCTCGTTCGCATGGCTTGGAACGCCAAGAGCAAGGAGCTCAATCGCAACCTGCTCCTGAAGTTCCTCGAAATGAGAAGCGAAAAATTGCGAATAAAATCCATCCATGCTGACACTACCACTCCCAGCCAATATAACACACGCATGACTTGGGCTCTATGGTGCTTCAGCAGGCACCACGGGGTAGAAGCAGGGGTCAGACGACGCAGTAATAAAATGCTCCAAGTCGAATACGACGAAACCGGCAACTACGTTAGCGCCCAGCTAGTACACCCCAACCAACGACTGGCGGGAGCATGTGTCCATCCCTTCTCTAAACATGTCGCCCTCATCGATATGCTGGGCTAGTTCGAGATCACAGTAAGGCTCATGTACCACGGGTGATGACCGCCTGACCCAAGGTACCCGTGATTCCAACATGGTCATCACAAGACCAAAGAAAGTTAAGTGCGAAGTTAAGTGCGAAATTAAAGTGCGAAATTAAACAAAATGCGACTCAGTAAGTGAGGTGAGGTCCAACTCCGCATGTGGTCCAACTCCGCATGTTAGGCTAAGTGCAACTCTTACAAGGCGAAAATCAGATCGTAGTGGTTATTTTTCAGTAGTAGACCATCTGTTTCGATGGCAAGAGTCGGATCGTAATGATCATTTTTCAGTAGTAGACTATCCGTTTCGATCGCAAAAGTCGGATCGTAATGATCATTTTTCTGTAGTAGATCATCTGTTCCAGCGCTCATAAAATAACGTGCTAATGAATGCAGCTGTGTGCTGTATGTAGATGCGCATATATGTAGACGCGTCTGGATGTGTGTCTGTAGGGAGTATGTCTCTGGTACAAAGGGGGTGATCAGGAAGGACCCGGTTATTAGACACCCGACCGAATTTTTACTAATGGACCCGGAACCGGGTGATACTTCCTTGGATGAGAGCTATAAACAAATTATCCAAGGTATAGAGGCCCAAGATATATGTCTAGTATTGCGAGCTGCCGGGGATGCATTATGGGAACTCCGGAGACCTGGTCATGGGCCTGAAACATACCATCACCTCTGTAAGTCACTCCATGGTAAAGTCACTTCATGGTAAAATCACTATATGGTAAAGTCACTATATGGTAAAGTCACTATATGGGCAGAGCATATTTTCCAACGCACATCTTGTTGTTGCTAAAAACGTAGCTGCTATGACCCTCAGATAAGCAGGTCACTGATATATTAGAGCATGTTAGCAAGTGGTATGTTCAAGATGACTTCAAGTATCGGCGGAACATTTTACATATCTACGCATCCAGCCAGCAAAACGGGAATGTCGTACCCCGGCTTTACCTGATGATTGTAGCAGCTTACGCAATTTTGTACAGACAATACATAGTGCGGTGTCATGTGCGACCCGGAACCAGCTCGGCCGGAACCAGCTCGCAAACAACCAAACCGGCTGGAGTATCGGGTACTCCAGGATTTGCTGAGCCTACAACAACCGGGAATGAAACGGACGGCTCCATAACAATAGCCGGACTGGCCGAAACTTTGGCATTGGATGAAACAAACCCTTACTCGGTCCTTAAAGATCTTATATGCATGCTTAATACCAGTCAAGATCCTCTTAGATCTTTATACGTCCGATATTTTGCGACCGTGAAGATGAATGATATTATTCTCAAGATTCGAAATATCAAGTACTATAACCACCTGTCGTCCTGGCCATTAGTTGATGGCCAGCAGCCGACCCAGGATCTGACGAGTGACAAATCCGTAGTTGAGTTAAGGAGGCAGAAGACGGAAAAACAGCAACGAGTCGTTAACGGGATCCACTCATCTGCACCTCCATCAGAAGCTCCAATATTAAATGAGCATAATGTATTCGATTTCTTTATGGCAATGTTGATAGCAGACTTAAAGCTTTTAACCCGAATAGAATACAAGTACGGCAGAGGTGTGATCGGAGCTGAGGTGCGGTCCAAGCATACGTTTATTGCTGATGAGGCTTTCAGCGCTTTATATGATGTCATCGAGTCCCCAAATAGCGCGCGAAATTATTGGACACACACATTTGCTCCCAGATTATTCAAAGTAAGTACGCGCTTCAAGAACAATACAACTCTGAACTACTTTTACGGGAATATTATTGCCCGATCAGGTTCAACCCGATTGATTATGATCATGGACGAGCTGCTTCTTAGCATTTTTCACTGTGGAATAGATTCAATATCAGATCTGGGAGTGCTACTGGACCAGGTATTGATAAGTTGTGGTGCTCAGAATGGATACCGCCCGGAGTCGAATATCTCCTGCCAAGACGCGTGTTCAACGGACAACGAACGTTTGATGACGATCCGAGAGGTGGCCACAAATATCCACATAAAGCTAGTTGAAACAGTCCCCGATTTAATTCATCAATTCACCGCCGTTGAACCCCATCGTCTGCCTAAGATGCTTCATCATTGGGTATATTTGGTCAGGATTCTATCCATTTATGCCAGATACGGTATATCCGTAATTCGCTCCGTCAAGTTGCTATTAGACCACATGTGTAATCCGCTCCAGGGATACCCATCTCAGGGATTCCCATCACAGGGGCAGCCACCACCACCAGACTTGAGCAGTAGAGAGAGTTTTGGGAAGGCCCCTCCCCTAGAGAACGGAAACGAACACCCGGACACCGCAAGCGATCTCACGGAAGTGTCTGGCGCCGACGTCTTCCGTGCATGGGAGTCTCTTCGAAGCCGAGTTCAGAGTCCGGTACTAGCTGAAGGTATTGCTGACGTTATCAAACTCTCTATTGAACATCACGGCTTCGTTCCCGAGGTAGAGGATTTCATCAACTCAATTCTGTTCTACTTCAAAAATGACGCCAACACTTATGCGCTGAGCATTTTGCGAGGCTTGATTCAGAAAGAGGACATATCCAGTCTCTGTAGATCTACTGGAGACCTCTCGGCTGAAGCCGCTCAGTCTCTTGGTGCGCACCAGCTGGCCGGGCCACCGAGGATTACACGAATTCTGGAGCTAATCGTCGGCCAATTGACGGAAGAATGCTCGCAGTCGTTTGAATTAGCTCAACTAGCACACAAGGTTGGAGACTGCCAAGTTCCTTCAGATGACAAATTCGCCATTTTCGCTGTCCTCCGTGGCGCTTGCGAGTATCTGAAAGCTCGTGGTGTAAAATGCCCCGTGGATCTGGCAGCTCTTTGTCACGAATGTAATCGGCTAGTATCCGACGTCTGGAACAAGATGCTGGTTGAACACCGCAAGATGCAACATGAAAAACACGAGCCACGCCAAGGAGACCGACCAGAGGCACCGGGAAACCGAGCAGGAGATGCCGCCGACGGAGCTGGAGCGGGAGCTCCCGCCGACGGAGCTGGAGCGGGAGCTCCCGCCGATGAAGTTGGAGCAGAAGAGGCCGCCGACGGAGCTAGAGCTGCCGCACAAAATAGGCAAGGGACCCTCCAACTTGAAGCACACGGATCGGTTAGTTACGTAACCAATGTCTTAGCAGAAAGTCGCCCTGCCGGAAGGACCGAAAGTCTCCTCGACTTTGAATTAGAACAGCCGGAAAGTGCGCGGCCGGAAAGTGCGCGGCCGGAAAGTGCGCGGCCGGGAAGTGCGCAGCACGAGAGAGCGAGCCAACAAGAGGATGCCAATCCCCAAGAAAATACGAGCAGTCTGGAGGGTACGGCAGAGCAGACTGCATCCAAGTTGACTGACTCAGCGGAGCAAAAAGCTACAAAGGATTCTTGGAACGAGGACATCATGGAGAGCCGTCTGGGTCATCGCTACTCGTTAAAAATGCTGATTCAGTTCCTTCACGGATGCTGTACTGATTTAATTGACCTCCATGCCGACCTGAGTTTCCCACATCTCCTCTCGGCGGCCGTCCTAACGAACCAGATGAAGGGAGAGTATACCAATGCCACTTACGAGTTTGTGTCATTGGCCATACAAGTGTACGAATCGAGCTTCGTAAACACAAAATATGAAGTTAGGTCGCTCCAGAAACTGACCTACATTTTATACTCATATATAGACACCATTGATCCGCAACACTGGAACATGATTATGTAAGCCACCCTCCTAGCCACCCTCCTAACTAACTCCTTTGTCTGACTAACTCCTCCCCTCCTAACTAACTCCTTTGTCTGACTAACTCTCTCCCCTCCTAACTAACTCCTCCCCTCCCCTCCTAACTAACTCCTCCTAACTAACTCCTCCTAACTAACTCCTTTGTCTCTCCCCTCCTAACTGGTTCCTTTTGCCTTTAGAGTTAGACTCTGCACATATTCGACAAAGCTTTTGAATGATGTTGATCAAGCTCATATGATAATCCGATGCGCTCTGTTGTTCAATAAACCTCCCGTAAGTGAGTACTGGAACGTTATATCTGCTTCTTCTTCAGTACTCTTCGTACGACAGATGTGTGGAATGTTTGGCCAAGAGCTTAAGGGTCCTTCAGAACACAGCCCCGACTTCGCAGAAACGACACCTAGCATTGAGGTGTCTGCGGCAGGCTGTGGACCTGTGTGAGGCGCAAGGAAATGCCGAGATAAATGATCAACTGAAGCTGCAGATTCAGTCGTTTGCCACACACACCGAGCAAGTGGCCGTCAGCTCCCAAAAGCCCCGAGGCCTGTCCGATCTGGCTTCTCAGTACACCACAAGGAATCGAGCCGTGGACCTCTTCTGACAGGGTGGATAGCGAGCGGTTGCCGTTGGGGTGGTTGCCGTGGGGGTGGTGGTTGGCACGCGTATTTTATCCAACAAATCTTTTTCATACAATGCTCAAGCCAGCAGCCTCCCTCTTCTTATGGCTGGCTCTTAAAGTGTCTGGCCAGGGCGCCCATAAGTGTAGGGGGATGGACGAGCTCCCTATCTACGTGATCAATACCGATTCGAAACCAGAACGGTAAGTCTTGGCACAAAGGTGGAACCAAGAATAAAGATGCGATTACTTGTTGTTAGGTTGGAATATATGAAGCGTGTGTGGGGGTCAGACATCCACCGCGTGCGTGGACCAGACAACTCTAATTTTACGGAGATGAGGCGTGTTGTTGACGTGGGTTCGCTCGCAAACGATCCAGAGTGGCGTAATCACATAGGGAAGGTGACGAAGTCATCGGTTGGTGAAACTGCATGTGCAGCTGGGCATTTGCAGGCAATTGAGCAAGCATACAATGACGGGCATGCAGCGGTGATGATTATGGAGGACGATGTTGGTTCGCACCTGTGTCCCTTGTGGCCGGCCTCGATCCAGGAGGTGATCAGGCAAGTCCAAGTGACCGATCCGGAATGGAACTTAATTCGCGTCCAGTGGCATTTCCCCAGGAAGCAGTTGCAGCAGACCATGAAGGAGCAGGTGGGCTTCGTTAAGGACGCCATTACCAAGGCCACCGAACTCAGAGCAAATGCCACATATCTCAGTGATGCAGCCTACCTCAGTGATGCAGCCTACCTCAGTGATGCAGCCTACCCCAGTGACGCGGCGAACCTCCGCGGAGGAATACCGGAAACGACAACCGGATTTGATCCCGACACTCCCGCCTCCCACCTCATTGCGGACCACCTCATCCGTACCTGGGGCAACTGGAGCGCTAACGACATTCCCCTTGCGGCCCGGTGCCGGAAGCCGCTTTGGGGAGGCGGTGCAAATATTTGGAGTCGTCGAGGCTTGGAAAGGGTCCTGGCAGCGAACAGAGCGCCCGACGGCGCTGATTACAAGTGGAAATGCTACAAAGGTCGATGCCATCTTGAAACCGCCGTCCTTGCACCCAGCGGTAGCCACTGCTACATGTCTCTGCCAAGTCTACTGAACGTGCGACTCGTTGAGGAAGGCAGCGGCGTGCGAGGCGGCATCAAGAGACTACAACACCGGATTGTGCATCTCCGAGCAACCATGATCAATGCGCACTGGCTCATGTCGCTAATGGAACTTGCCTTCCCAGGCGTACACGACTTCTTGCCGGAAAGCGAACTGTGTGTGACCATCGACACGAAATGCGCTCGGTAGCCAGCAAGCTTCTGTCTTTTTTGTGTCTTTTTTCCAAGTCGAATTGACTTCTGATCCGGGCTCGGTCAGCCTCTGTAGCATTGTCTTTGCCTGGCGTCAAACACCCCAGTGTCCTGCATTCCCCAGCTCTCTCCGTCCCGCATTCCTTGCGTCCCACATTCTTTGTGTCCCTACTAGTCGAAAGGCGTCAAAAACCTCGAGTGACCTCGATATACGTCTAGAGGGTTTAGAAGGAATAGCGTGTTGGCCCAAGAGCTAATGGCCTCGAACATGGGCGGCAATGAGAAAACGACGAAGACCACGAAGAATGTGATAAGGCTGGCCGTCTTCCTGTTCCACGGAGATCGGTCCAAGTATGCCTTTAATCCGCAGGAGTTGCTGAGGTACGGGGATACAATGCCCCAACCGTCGAGTGGAGGGAGGGGAAGTAGGTTGAGAAGTAAAGAAAAGAACTCGATCTCGACTAGGAATGAAAGCGCTTCGGCGGAGACTCGGGACGAGGATTCTGGTAGCACTTTGAGGAGGGTCATCAGAACTCGAAACAGAACCGCTGAAACCAGGGTGCCCAACGGCCCTGCCGCGGACACTAAGGCATCCCAATGGGCAGAGGGTAGATCCGAACTCTGGATCATTACCGCTGCCCCTGGCAAGGCTATGCCACCTAACGCAATCATCATTATTGGCAGCACAATTGACGTAGTAACGTCAATGTATCGTAAGAAATTCAGATCTAAATAACCCTTGGCTAGGATCGATCTGTCGCCGCCAATATAAGCCGTCAAAGCGTGCGCATACTCATGTAGACCCGTGGACAATACCCAGCCAACCAACACCACTCCACCCGCAATTATCTAACCAAAGAGGTAGTTGGACGCGTGCGTCGTAAGATGGGTGCGTGTCTGTGTCGAATGATGGGTGTGCTATACAGACGGTCACATACGTTGCGTTGATGGTATGATCCAAGCAACAGAAGTAACACAAAGGTCACCACTGTCACTATGAACACCAATGAGGGCGTGAATTTGTTCGGTGGTTCCGCCGGAGAGTAAAGGTTGCCGGGCAGCATTCCCAAATTCTGGTGTTATTCTCTAGGTTAGGGCGGCTCCGGACTGGGGCGGCCTAGGAGTGAAGCGCCTCCGGACTGGGGCGGCTCCGGAGTGGGGGCGGCTCCGGAGTGGGGCGGGAAAAAACCGGAAGGTGTAAGAGGGTGTATGTAACCTAGAAGGTGTACGTAACCTAGAGGGTGTATGTAACCTAGAGACCCTTAGGACCCACTGGTTTTGTGATGCAGTCCAACCCTGCCCTGTTCTGCGTTAAATACATTTTCCGGTCGAATCTCGAGCTTACCATAGTCGAAGGCAACATGGAAATTCTCGAGGAACATGATGCCGAGAACGACCAATGGTCGGTCATTGGGTACCGGAAGTGGCATGATACCGAAGACGCATGTATCACTGTCGTATGGGCGGTGTTCCAGTGCATCTTTTTCCTCCTGTGAGCGGCGGTCTTGATGGTCATGTTGAACATGGTCGTATTGTTCCATCATGTTGATCATATAATTTTGCGGTCCTATAGCGAATTCGTGGGACTGTCCATCGACATCTTCTAGCACGAAGGATATTTCATGGTGCAAGGAGTGGCACGGTTGTAGGGGTGAGTCAATATTGAGGGCGTGGACAAGGTGCATAAACTCTCGCGACGGCACGGTAACTAAGCTACTGCCTGTGTCTATAGCGGCAGAGCAGTAGGACTTGGGCACGGTTCGTACGTCTAAGGCGTCCAGGGCTATGACATCGTCGTCTTTGGGTGCTTGGCGGCGAGGCTCGCTCATTTCTTGATCAGATAAGTCGGGCAGAGGGGTCGCGGACAGAGGGGTCGCGCACAGTCCTGGAACTGGACGGCCGTTTACTTTTATTGTGGACAGAGGGACTTCCCAATGTCTCAGTGAGGACAAGGGAAACCACATCCAATCTCTGGTGTGCGGAGGGAAACTCCCCAGGTACATCCAGCCATTCAATTCCCCCTCCTTTTCCGACCGCTCATTCCGGGCCCGGAAGTCAAAGACTGCAACCGGTTTTTTGACCACCTGCTGACGATACATGTTCTCTATTGGCGACGCATCATACCACCGACTTCCCTCACTAGCGTAGCCCAAACCAAAGATACCGTCAATCGGGACGGAAGAAAACGGCTCCACACTTTCTCGAATACTCAAGCCAATGGTTTGATTCTTCACCGTGATGTCACCGATCTGCACTCTGTCTCTGCCGAATTCAAGCAAACAAGAACCGGTGCCATACTGAATGAAGTTAACATCCGACTCATGAGGATGATCTGCCTCATACGATTGACTTCTTCGGGCATCAAATTTAGAATGCGGCTCACAACCCCCAACGCAATCTGAGCTAGGCAACCAGAAAAAGCTCGAACCAGTGTCAAACTAGAAGAATGAAATTCGGGTTGGAAACGTTTGCTCCAACACAACACACTTACCACTACAGTGAACGGTTGGGGTGGTGTACCCACACTGATCTCGCCGATGAACTAAAAAAAGATTCACAGCCGCCGCACGCAGAAAACTAACTTGAGTGTTTTCAAAGTTTGCCAAAGGAACTTTAGAGTCGGCGTGATTGAATGCGAGCTGTATTGTACGAGGCACGGAAACAGTCCGTAAAGGTAGCCGGTGAATTGTGCTTGGGTTACCGGCGGGCTTCGGTCGCAACTTGGCGGACAAAGCCTTTACTATCAGTCCTAGAATGGCTGCGCGCAACATTTAACACACGTGTGTGCACACACTTGCGCCCGTTGCGTGGCTAATAAATGGCCGGGGTTGTTGTGTACTGGACTGCCGTTGTCGTGATTTTTTGGTGGCCATTTAATGCAACGGTGCGTTGGGACAACCCTGCAGCTGAATATATTGGAGGGGAAGTACTGGGCTTCTGATGTCAAAGGTGAAGCTGAATTTGATCTAGTAGTACAGTACGGGAAAGTCCCGCCGGAGTTGCGCAAGTTGATAGCGACGGAGCCAGAAGACGTGGTGCGTTGTGGCATGGCCCGTGCTGTGGAGCAGATTGTGAGCGAGACTTTGATTGATGCGTGTTTCAAGCCGTCGGATGTGGCTGAGGTGAGAACTGCGCCGGTGCTAATTAGTCTTCGAAGCGACAGGGTGGATTGGAATCGGAGCACACGAATTCAACAGCCTGCAGAAGATGTGCGGCAAGAATTCGAGCTTTATTGTTCCATGATCACCTATCACGAGTGTGGGCCTTCGATGCCGTCAAACGTCGCTGCTCGGAAGCTACTGTCGCCAGACGAGATTTCCTACCGCCGTCGGGAGGTTCTTGATCCCAGAAGCGCTGCATCTTATGAGGTTCTATGGCCTGAGAAGCAGGAGGGGGTTTGGCTGCAGGATTCTGACCATGTTCCGATTATCTTTGTGATCACTTATTTGCTGGGGGAAGAGAGGGGGACGGGCGACGGAGATGTTCACCTGGAAGATGTAGCTAGAAACGTGCGTGGGTTCTCGATTCTAAAATCCTCCCAGCTGACAGACCGGACTTCAGAACCGAGCAAGACGGTCTGGAAGGCAGTTCATCCCCCTCTGCAGTACGGGTTAAGAGACCCCCGTGGGAACGAGTTACCTTTTTGCGTAATGTGGCGCGTTCTGGAGCATTTGGAATCGGTTGAGAGCCCGGAGCTGGTAATGACAAAGATCCTGAACAGTATTCAGGGCAACGGAGACTCGCAAACCTTACCTAGCGGCCATGTTGTTTCTTGCCGTCACATGCATGACAACCCGATGTACGGAGAACTGTGCTTCCGTACTTTGTTCACGCAAGATTTTGACTCTTCCATAGAAGAAATTGACAAACAGATTCTCCGCACGATACCGGAGTACCAGGCGTTTCTGGACACACATGTTCGGCTCCCCTACGACTGCTACGGGGGTGCGCTTTTGCCCGCCCCATACAACCCGAATTTGAAATTAGATCGGACGGAAGACAATTTGGTTGGTAAGGTGAAATACGAGGCCCAAGAGTACGACAAATTGCGGCGTTATGAAAAGTACCAAGAGTATCTGAATATGGAAACCTTGTTCAAATGGAAGCAGTTCCTAACTGATAAGCCTCCGTACGAGCTCGGTCCTTATCAATTTGGTGACCTCCGTGGTGACCTTCGTGGTGACCTCCGAGGTGATCTCGATAGTGACGTCCGAAGTCAGCGGCTATCGGAGAACATAAATGACAGCAATATCGCGGGTAATATTGTGGGCAATGTTGTGGGGGGTCAGGAACAATGGATTCAGGTTGAGACAGCCTATGAGATTACAACGGATGAGATCCCGTGGAGTGGTAACTGGTTGCATACAGTGAACTACGATTTTGGGGACTCGACAACGGCCACGCGATTTCTATTGGAGGTTTGGGTCGGTGAGGAGTTCAGTGGAGAGTTGTTGCTGCCTGAGCTGCAGGAGTGGCACAATTCGCAGAAGACATTGTGGCCCTTAGTAGAGGACGCCAGCGCAGGTGGCGGCGTGACTCGGAAGGACTTTAGGAAACAGACGGCGCCGACTGCGGTGAAGGGATGGGTGTATCTGGATGCGATGTGGGAGGTGACCAACCCTCGGCGAGGCTTGTTGACACTGCGGTTGCGGGAGGTGCGCAACATTTCAACCAAGTCCATTAAGGAAGAAGACATGGTACCGGGTGCGCCACAGGTTGTTGTGTGGGGGTACAATACGGGTGAGAAGGAGTGGACACAGTGCGGCAAGTTTCCCGAATTTGAGCATGCCCTGTACTTCCTGAAGAACAACAAAGCGGAGGACATCATGGGTGACCTGTGGGAATGGGACACACGTGTGCTTGGTCCGCAACCAAACTGGTTCAACTATTTCAGCTGGTCTAAACCTGGCATCATGAAGACTATTCGTCAAGAGTTGCCCGTGCAGATTGTCCAGGTACGCAAGGTTAAGAGACATTTGCACCTTAATAGCCTGGTCACGCGCTACGTGGATCTGCCCGCGGCCTTTTCGGAACTGTGCCATCACGGAATTCCCGATATCCTTAGACCCTACATCTGGACCGAACTATTGGGGGTCTATTTATTACGGAAACGTTTGGATCTATGGGTGGCACAAAGCTTTGCAACAAGACAACCCGCGTACAACTTCATCATCCAAGACATGCTCTGCACTGTCACACCTCTGTTCGTCTGCATCGAAGAAGATCTAGACGTGTTCAGCGCTACATTTGGCATTGACTCATCGCACCGCGAAATCATCTCACGAACAATCCGCTCCCTTATGCTCTTTTGTTCCTCGGACCAGGGCCCCCGAAACGCCGAACGGGGACTGAGGATAGAGGCCAGTCATATGGGTTCCCCCATTGCCTATTCTTACCGGCTCATTTTTGTTGCCTATTATCTGTCTTTGGACTTTTATAGCCAGCGCCTTTCCGAAGAAGACATTTTCTACTGCCTGCTTGCTCTCTTTGCCATCGACTCAGACACCAAAGCCCCTTTCAGAGATTACTACCTTTGCGAGCAGTCCTGGTGTTACGGATCGAACGAGATCCCTGTGGCCTATTCCGATGCCATTCTGTTGCGTCTTGCATACGAGCGCTACTGCCCAGCAAAGTATCACACGGTGCAGCGAACCGGCTTCAGTATCGAGGCTGCCTTCACCCCGTTGCTGCGCAGCCTCTTTGCTGGGTCTCTGCCCACGCAGTCTCTTTATCGTCTGTGGGACCTCTTGTTTAACGTGCTCTGGAAACCGGACTGCCCTGTGGCGCGGACCGGAAGCCGAGCTTTCGAGATTGGAGCATCACGCAAGGTACGGGCCGAGCGAGGCAGGTCACCAGAGGACTTGGCTGCTCAGGTCCTTTTCAAGGGGTCTTTAGGACGTAAGACATTGTTCTGTTTCGCTTTCAAAATCCTAGACAAAGCCGTAGAAGCGCTACCTCCACATCCAACTGCAGCCGAAATGAAAGACGCTGTCATGTCCGTTTGTACCCGGCTACGATACCCATGCGAGGTCCCATTGCTCGTACATCAGGGCGAAAATTCTGCTTTGGTTCGAGATGATTTATTTAGTCTTCAAAATCTCGCGCAGGCAGAGCTCGCTTTAAGGGCTGAACAGTTACGATACCCCACACATGTAGGCTTACTTTTGGAGCACTGTCTTTGTAACCCAACATTGATCAAAGAAGACATCCCGTGCAACTATGTACTGGGCTATGATGAGCATCCTTCGATCAGCACCAAAGATAAAATCTATGGTATCGTCACCCAGGAACCCGGATTGACTACGGAACAAATGGTACGAATGGTGTATCCGGCAAGCAAATATCATAGTCTCTTCGCGCCTCCCGAGATCAGGAAACTTCCTCCCGGGACCCAAGGAAGGCTTATTCTTCACGTTAGCAAAATACATTTCTTAGCACACAAATCGGATCCCATTGCCGGCTCTATTGAGCTGATAGTATCATTCCAAAATGAAACCCACAGATACATACCCAAATACCTCACGACTGAAGCGGAAGATGGTAGGACGGACTACAAGCTTACGGAAAATAACGTTTGTGTTTACTATATTGAGACACCACCACCTTACCACTTACGACTTGCACTCCGCAGTTTGGAGAGTGGTGAAATTATTGCTAAGCAAACGAGTTCGTTGGAAATAAAGAAGTTAACAACACAAGCGAGTTGCCTTACCTTCCTTGACTCTAGTAACTTCAACGGTAGGCCCACGGAATTGTATTTACGATGGACGCTCCTCGTACCCACAGGGGATATGTTCCTTCCTGATATTGATGGCCGGAATGCCATCTCTAGTAATGCGCTGCGACCAGGCTTCGGTCATTGGGGTGATCTTGCTCCATTTGAACCACTGTATGTCAAGCTGAACCAAACTCCCCTAGGAACCGCGTCCTCCGCTATTCGACACAGATCGTCTTACCCACTCCACAAACGTTCCAGCGCCGTCACTGAGTCCACTGTCGGAGCAAGGCTGGCGGCTGAACAAAGATCCGATGATGAACTGCAAGAATTCGGGGACATTGCTGTACCTTTCAGACCTGCCGACAGACCCAGATGCTTCCTCGGGTACAATAGACCGACCTTAGAAGAGATCATGACTTTCTCATTCCCACCAGGTGTTAACATCAGTGAAAGAATAATCACCTACTTTGGACATGTGCGCGATCGCAACAATTTCCAAACCGTCTTCTCTACACCCGTCTCGTACCGCGAAATTGTCACGACGCTGATCATGCTATCCCGCGGGAGTTTGATCGACAAATTGGAGCTCTTATTCGATCTTTACGGACACCATGAACCTGAGAAAATCGAACAAGATCAGAAGGAACTCGCAGGAACTAATGGCCTTTATTACCACCCCATGGTTTCGCCGGAGGCACCAAGTGCCACTCACTACAAGCAAATGACATCTCTCGAACGCCTTTCCGTTACTGCTACACGACCAAACAGCTTCATGCCGGAAGACTGTCCGAAAATCATTCGGGAAAACACGCGTGTTATTAATAACGCCATCTCCATGGCCGCAATCATTGGCATGGTAACACAGGTCTTCTCTAAAAATGGTGTGCATATGAACAATGCAGACATTATCAAGTACTGCTTCCAAAGCTTCGATCCAATGGCCAGACTTCCCCGCGTGCTTGGGGCTAGCATTAGAACTAATGAGCCTATTCGGGCCGAAGAAGAAACGACCGATCCTGCCTCAGGACGTCTCACCAATTTGGTACCCAACGTTTTCTGCAGTTCCGTTCCGACGTACGACGGGGACTCAACGGATGAAGGCCAAGTTCATGTCGCAGGCACCCTTCCTTCCCCAGTCAATGTCACCGACCAAGTAGCTGCCTGGATAGACGTCTCGACTGCGGAAAGCCAGTGGTGGGGTCTGAATTTCTTCAAACACCATTCACTCGAATTAATGGGCATAACAGACCCATTCCCGAGCTACACGAAGAAAATGGACATTATTATTACTCCTTCAGGTGACCTACAGGACGTCCATTTGATCTCTGTGGATGTTGATGAGTATGGTAACATTACCGGTGGTCAAGGCGGAAATTACCTGGTGCTGGCAAAAAGCGAAAACGAAGAGAACGAAACCGGGGCTTGGGCTGCTATTCGAAACGATCTATTTGTGCGCGAGGGTAACAAAAGCCTCCTTACCATCTGCTATGCCTTTGAGCTGAGTTCAGTGGTGTTTGATAAGTATCACTTCATCATGTCTTTAATGAGCAATTCTCTCATCACGGATTGCCTAAGAAGATCGAACATGTTCGCTTGTAACTTTATTAAGCAAGATCCATTGAACGTTAATTGCTTCATGAACGTTCCTTTCTCCACTGATTTCCACCGTAATGTTCTCGGTTTGTCATTCCGTAATCATCAACCCAACGCGATCGAGAATGAACGGACCTACAGCAGCGAACAGTCGCTTACCAAATATGACAACGACTCGCCCAGGTCGCGGTCTAAGAAGCCGAATCGCAGAAGAGACGACGCCCGTCTTGACGGCCAAAGCAAAGGACGAGGACAGTTCTTAGATAAACCACCGGAAAACGATTCTTCGCTGGGAGATTTGAATTCGCCGTTATACAGAAACCGGGACGACTTTGATACTCTGGCCAGAAATCCAATTGAATTCCAAGATCAGGCAGTTCACGGCTCCGTTATCAGGGATGGCTTACAGCAAAATTCAACCAAACCGCAAGTTGTGGTCGCCATAAAACGCGTGCGGGCATTAAAATTGATTCAAGAATGCGTCTGTGACTTGCTCGTATCGGTTGAATATGGCTCCGAAATTGATAATACGACCGTCCACAGTGACGTTCATTTTACCGATACAGTAGAATGGTCGGATAATTTCCTCTATTATCTTATTCCAGAAGTATATAAACTCAGATTCAACGTCATCAATGCTACGAGCAACTTATCTGCTGGAGAGGTTGAGCTAAACTTTGAGTCTCTAATACAGCAGTCACGGTTCACTGCTCATCTTACTCTTCCTTTGCTCTACCGAGACAACGAAGTGGGAGAGATTGATGTGTCAATTGCCTTTTTAGGAGTAGTCAACCAATCAAGCCGCCGGCATGATCTAACACAGAAGCTTGTTGGCGAATCAGGAAAGACGGTTAGTAAACACGTGGATATGAAGATCATAAAGGGGAACGACATTCCTCAGCACACGGTAAGTACCATTCAAGTGAAAAAAATGCACGTGCTGGGTAATGAATGACCCGAACGCGTGTGTGACCCGAACGCGTGTGTGACCCGAACGCGTGTGTGACCCGAACGCGTGTGTGACCCAGACAGTCTCCTCCATAAACATGGGGCATGACTTTGTCGATCTCTTTTCTCACTCCCCTAGTCTTCCTGTCCATCTATTCTTGTTCGTCTTCTTAGAATCCTTTCTGCCAAGTCTCCAGCGAAAATGACGTTGTTCGAACGAGGACAATAGAGGACTGCAATGGAACAGCCGTTTGGAATGACTTCTTTTCCTTCAATCTTTATGACGATGATGAAATACAGTAAGTCTATTGCCTCGCCATTTTGTTTGTCGTATCACGTGTTTGTCATATCACGTGTTTGTCATATCACGTGTTTGTCATATCACGTGTTTGTCATATCAAGTGTTTTTTGTGCCAGGTTGCGTCTGATTGACGACCAGCGGAATCGTGATGGAGTGATAGGTTCTGGAATGATGGATTTGAACAATGTTAAGGGCACGAAGTTTTTGACGGTTCCAGTATATGATGGGGTGAAGTGCACTGGTTCTATCGACGTGGAGGTTGCAGTGAAGGATGGTCCGTTGCCTACGACTGACCTGTTTGATTGGACATCAGGTAATGTGCGCATGGTAATTGATCGTGCAGTGAATCTTCCTCCGGCTTTCCGTGGTGGTAAGTACGTGATAATTGATTTGGAGAAGCAGAGGGAGCAGACTTTAATTAGTAATGCGACCGCTAATCCGATTTGGCAGACGGCGATTACTTATCAGTGTCGGAGTGGCAGTAGCAATTGTGTATTTACTGTGTGTGCACACGATGAACAAGAGGATATTATCCTGGGACAGGCTACCCTGAACTTGGCTGAGGCCCGGCATTTGGCGGAGAGGGGTCAGTCGGTAACCAAGTTGAAGCTGGACGGTCTATGTAGGGGTACGGGTGGTGAGCTTTGGTTGGAAGTTCAGTTTGTTGCATATCCTAAGAATATGAACAAGTATCGGTTTCTGAAGATTCATCTTAACTCGGTTCGAGATATGATGCCAAATGCGCTGCATAGCGACCGAGCTAAGATACTGATCGGTATGGGTGGCAATGAAGTGGCCACTAGTTTGGCCCGTATTCAGACGACATATGACGAGTATTGTCTTACGTACAAGGAGACATTCGACGTACCTTACAACAAGGAAGAAATCATTTCCTTTACTCTCGTCGACGGGCAGACTGAAGAGGAGCTTTGCGGTTGCGCTTATGACCTATGGGCGGCTCTACGGCTGAATCGCGAAAGCATTCGTGGCGACCTTTGGCTTAAACATCAAGACCAAGTGTTGGGCAAGCTGCGCCTGCATCTCACCTATCTGCCGGGAGTACCAGAACCCTGGCCGGACGCTTGCATCGTGGATGTAGCCAGCCTTCGGTGCCAGACTTTCGGGGCCGCTCCGTTGACTGTTTCGGTGCGGGATGCCACGGCATACGGCAGCTTCGTCGACGGCTTCGAGGACGACGCCAGCGAGGACAGCGCGATCACCATGGGCAAAAAGTTCCACATCGGTCGCACATATGGCCTCAAATACGCTGGCCAGCCGAACATCTGGGTGGACGTGGCCATGGGTCCAATCGAGGTTTGGTCCTGTGAAGTACCCATCACTCGTGATTCCTTTGATGACATAGGCTACCACGACTATCCCCTCATTCATGCCGGCCGAGAGGTCGGCTGGATCAATCTCAAGCATCGCTTCATTGACCGGCCCACGTCCGTGACCAGCTGCAGCTACCTCAAGCTGCAGCTCACCGACCTGGCAAAGGTGCCCGCCCATTTTGGTGACAAAACCCCTGCGCAGGTCTACCTTACTGTGGACCTAGACCACAAGAACACGGTGCAGTGCCCGCCGATCAAGGTGCTGAGTGACCACGAAGAGATCTACTGCAACTGGGTGGCGCCGTACAGACAGCAGCCAATTATTCGTTTCACTCTGCGTGATCCGAAGGGCTTCCCTCTCTCGACGGCGGACCTGAACGTCTGGGACGTGATGAACAAGCAGGTCAGTCCGACCGACTACAGCCGCGGCGGGCGAGAGCGCCGCACCCGCGGATTGGATGGCTCCCGAGGTCTAGACCAGGTTCGGAGTATGGACTTATTGAGAGCGAGTAGACAACGCGGAGACGAGAGCACGCGGTCTGCCGGTAGTCGGCGGAGTCGCCAGGTGGAGGAAGAGTACCAGAAGCCGGCGAAGATTTTAGTGCCGCTGTACAAGAGGAACGGCACGAAGGGCGGGAAGGTATACGTGAAGGTGGAGTTCATTTACCACCCCAAGGACCTGCGGTTCCCGAAACAGTTGTTGGTGGGCTTCAGTCATGGTACGAATATCGGCGGGGATTACGCGTACGACCCTTCACGGGATGTGACGGTACGACTAAGGTCGGGCGAAAACAATATCGTGACACCGCCCAAAACGAAGAACAATCTATGGGGTAATTGGACGGCGATATTAGACATGGAGCCGGGCATGCATACATTGGCTGTGGAGGTGTATGATAAGGCTAGCCTGGAGGCAATTGGGTCATTGTATGTGCACATATGGGATTTATTCCGTAATCCCTTTGCGGAGTGGGCGGGGTCGTTCAAAATTACGAAAGGTAATGTAAATGTGGGAGTAGTGCATATGGCGATGCGTCTATTGGTTCCGCAGCGACTGACAGTGCAGTTCGGGGATGGACACGCGACCTACAAAGTACACCCGCGATTGCGGTACTCTAAAGTATTTGCTTCCGATTCCCCGAAGGATGTGCGACGTAAGTTCATTGCGGCCTGTCGCGAGATCGCAGAGATGAAGAACACCAATCTCTCCGACGAAGACCGGACCAAGTACCGCCTGGCGCAGTTGACATTGAGCTGCAAAACAACCCACGTAGACGTGGCTTCGGGCAACAAGTTGATGTTACCCGACAAGAGTACTCTTTTGTCTCTCTTCCCGGGGTGTACGGATAAGACCGACAAGTTAAAGGTAATTGATTTGGCGATTATGAGTGTGAGCAAGGGCAAAATGCACAAGGTAGATGCCGAGCCGGAAGACGGCGCTCTCGAACCCTGCACAAGTTTCCCCACGGGCGAGTCGGCCCAATCACGCGTGGGCACACTAGCCCGTATCGAATTGCCCTGGGTCAAAATGGCCTCCGATCATTCCAAGGTAGGCACACGGCGCAACAGGCTTTCGGCACTGGTTGAGAAAACCTTTGAACTCCATCCCCACGGAGACGCTCCCCTCGGTGCCCTCGGTTACGCCGCAATCGCCCTTACTGAGACCCAACGCCTCGTCCACACACTACGTTGGACTCACGCACTCTACGACCGTGTCGACCAATGGGTACCCGCCGTCATACACGCTATAACCAGCGCCAACTGCCTCGTCTCCCGCATCTCACCGGTGGAAACGGTTGTCGGGTACGACCTACCCGATTACGCACGAACTGTCCACGTCTCCAACAATCGACTCCTACCCGCCTTCAATGAGTCAGACGTCACCGACCGTGGACGCAAAGCACTCGTCTATCGCAACTGCGGCTCCGGACGCACCGTCAAATTCCGCTCAAACGGCATGGGAGCTTGGACACCACCCGCCCTTCCAAGAACCTCATCCATGGCCCGACTCGCCAAAAAACACTCGGACCCACTTATGCGCTAACTCCCTACCCCTCCCTGTGCACCAACTCCCTACGCCTTATGCGCTAACTCCTTGCGTACTATTTCTTTCCACCGCTTACCATTCAGAAGCTTTCTCTAACTACCTGGAACCTTGTTTCCAACCACGCGGATGCCTTTTTCAAACACTTGTACTAGCCGCCGGCTAGTACAACATGGGGAGAGGAACTCTGATCTGCTTCGAAAGCCGCTGGATCCCTGATCTCGATAGGGTGAGGGCGAGATCAAAAGGACGGTAATCAGAAAGATCGGTGTAGGGCTGCATGTGAGGGATAGACGGCCTCACTGCCGATACAGTACCCGTGAAGAGCATCCGTCTCGTGTTTCGTGGGTATCGGGGTGGCGGACCTCCTCCTTCATATCTTTTGCCAAAAGCATCTCAATGTTGTCTACCTGAACGTCCTCTAAGTTTATCGCGAAGACTCAAGGCCCGACAACCCTGCCGGAATGCGGATTCCTGTCGACCCCAATCATGTAACTGGTTTCACCGTGTTTTAAAAGCAGCTAGCGTGCTCGTGACAATACCTGTCGTTTGGCTATGTCAAAAAAAACCTGTCTGTCTATACCTGTCTGCCTATACCTGCGCATTAACTCAGTGTCTAAGAGAGTGCGTCTTCCTGGACATCTTCTTGGACTGCAGCAATCTCTTCTTCTCTAGAATCTTGCTCATCTGCATAAACTTCGCAGCATCAGCTCCCTGATGATATGACATCAAGACGGGAGCCCTAATAGGGTGCTTGCCCACACCCTCTTCCGCGTGCTTCACACCAGTAGCAACGGTGCTTCTGCCAGCGGTAGCGAAGACAGCAAGCATGACAATAACCTGCAGGGATTAGAGCGGATAATGTAAACTGAAGACACGTTACCAAACGAATCAAATGTATGGTCAATTAACACCACAACTCAACGCTCATGAATCGCGGTGTCTGTTGTCAATGTCTTCTTAATGGCTGTCTCTTACTTGGAAGAACTTCATATTCAATTCGTTCGAGTCAGATTAATTGGTGTGATAAATTAATATAACGTGTCTGAACTGGAGTACATCCTGTCTCTCATATTCGAATACTGTCCCACTATATCACAGTTGAAGATCTGCTGGGTCGAAAACTCCCAGGACAGCCATAAAATGAGTTAGTTACAGTTACTATCCTTTGCCGGATTAATCTATTCAAAAAGCAGATCTAATGAAAACCTTTCACAGGCATACTTCCTTTCCGTTCTTCTCACGCTGGCTCAACCTTCCTGCCCTCGCAAGCGGATTTCATTTCGCCTGAGCGGGTTAACAATGCCTAAGCGTTCGTCTCCATCTCAGAAAGTACGCATAACCTAGTAGTCGGGTACGCAATCTTGACCTGGTATGCAATCTTGACCTGGTATTCAATCTTGACCTGGTCTGCTTGCGGCGGTTTGTGTAACCACACGAAAGGGACTTAATGCCTCAAAAACAACTTGTTTGACTGCTTCATCAAATCGGCTTTGCGAGCGGCGAGCATAATCTTCCTCTCCGGGGATTGAACAGACATAGGGATGGGTCCTTCGATCTTTTTCTGCATGCCGATCCCTTCGATGGCATGAGATACCCCGCTAGCAGATACAACCAAAGCGACAAGAGCGGAAACTTGGAGGAACTTCATTATATAAATAAGGAACAGATGTACAGATTCTCAGATGATTTCCAAAAAAAACTTCGGTCCAAGAGAGGGACGCCCAGTCGTACCATCGGCCACTAAAAACTAGGCAGGCTGATAGACATCACCGGCTGTGGGTTCGCCTTGGAGCCAGGCTGATGGTTCCACTTGCCCTAAACTAAGCTGGGGCACTTTTGGTCGTGAGAGCGGCTGAGGAGGAGAAGCAACAAGTGGCGGCGAAGTAGCCGCAGGAGGGGGTGAGACCTGCTTGATTGACGACACCAGGAGTGATCCCGTGTGAGGGACCTGTACGTTGTCCAAAGGAGTATTCATTGTCGTTGAAGATCCAGATGAAACTGTGCCCGCAGTACCGCCTGCAGGATTAGCCGTAACGACTCTTTTACTAAACGAAATGGACTCAAATCCGGGGGATATTGACTAGGGAGTGTTGACTATAGGTGTTGACTATAGGTGTTGACTATAGGTGTTAGAATATAGGTGTTAGAATATAGTGGGGATCAGGAATGTCAGAGTGGGTGTCGGAATAAGAATGTGGGAGAAGAATAGGGGCGGTAGAAAGTGATGAATGCAGGAATAAGATAGGTGTTTACTCATCATGGACCTTCGATAGTATGTTGATTATCTGTGAAACGATAGTTTTGGCATCAGTGGTCTGTAGATCTTTTATGCATTGGACGAGCATATCGCTCAGTAGCTCAAAGCTTGTATCCATCTCAGTCAGTTTATGTTGGGTTTCTGTAAGCTCCTTTTGTAAGGTCTGCACCTGTCTCCTGAGCATAGTATTTTCGCAGTTCAGAAGTTGCAATCGCATTTCCCGGATTTCATCTAAAGAGTAATCGCCTGTAGAAAACGCACCGCTCATATCTGTAGACAAAATTAAGATCGGGTTGGGGGGCCGGGGTTAAAGGGGGCCTGGAATCAAATGGATAGGATTGACCTGGATGTGCACACGTTTGTTGTCCCGATGATATGGAGAAGACTTACGTGTGTGGTCCATGTTTGAATTGTGTGCGACAGCTGGATGATGATATAAAATAAAATAATAATTTATCTTGTCCATGTCAGACTACGGAGGGAAGACTTTTGGTGAAGTGACTTCATTGTCCAGGCAGTCGTTCATTCGGCCTGCGGACGAGGGGTCATTTGTGCATGCGGTGAGCACTAAATCCGCTGCATCGAGAGCGACTTTGGAGGTGGACCTAAATTCGACGGCCCCTCAATTTACAATCAAGGCCTTGATTTCAGGCACTGTATCGGGTACAGTCTGTACCTTTTTAGCTCTATACTATGGCCTTAAGACTGGTATAACGCCATCTCTCAACATTTTAGGAGGTGTCCTCGGTTTTGCTCTTACCAAGTTATTAATGAGGACTGGTGTATTCGGCGATACCTTTACACCGCAAGAGAACGCGGCTATTCAAACATTGTCTGTGGCCATCTACTCACTTTCCTACCCTTGTTTTGGGTTCACGAATGGCTGGCTGGCACTATCGAAGGAATGCTATGATTATCTGGGTGCTGGATTCGAAGGCAACAACCTCTCTGACACTGTTGATGTTAACTACTGGAGAAGTGTTGTATGGAGTGCTTCTTTGTTTTCTTTCGGGTTCTTTATTGCGTACCCGTTACGCAACTACTACGTTATCAAGAAGCGTCTAATGTTCCCTTCGGGAACAGCTACAGCCTACGTTATTTCTGCTCTGCATGCCTCGAAGGAATCAGCACGCAAAGGCTTGGCGATTTTGGGCAAGTTCTTCTCTCTCGCATTCGTCATCAACATGCTTACCTGGGAGTTTGAAGGACTCGCGGCCTTTCCTGTGTTTGGAATTGAAGCTGCTAAATACGGCTGGGCATTCGATTGGGATTTGGGTAGCTTCGGTATCGGCATGCTCCTATCGCTACAAATTAATGCTTCGATGTTATTTGGGGCGTTATTAATGTACGCGTTTTTGCAGCCACTTCTGAGCAACCATTTTGATGGCATTGGCAAGGATGATTGGTTCGACAGCAACACGGTTGCTTCACCGTATCTTGGACTTAAGGCATACCCTCTGTTTGCGGGTCTTGCGGTGATGATTGTGCAGGGGATCTGGTCGGTGCTTGAGATTTTAATTACGGTGGTTATCGCCTACGTGAAGAAGGAAGGGGAGGAAGAAGTTGTTGATGAAGAGACCAGGAGAAGAGATGAGATCTTCGAAGAGAAGGGTTTCCCGATTTGGGCAAGCGTAGTCGGCTACTGCATTACGGGTGCGGTTACCTGCATCGTACATTACTTCATGCTAGGGACCAAGTGGTATCAGACGCTCGTGGCACTGATTATTGTACCGTTGATTGCCTGCTCTAACATCGAGGGAATGGGTCGCACAGATTGGGACGTGGCTTCGTCTTACGGCAAATTGATGATGTTCCCCATAGGCTGGTGGAATCATGGAGGTTCAATTAAACCGGCATTAGCCGTGTGTCACACCACCATTTCCGGATGCTCGAGTTCGGCCGCACTAATGCAGGACTTCAAGACGGGCTATTTACTGGGTGCTTCGCCTGCTGTGATGTTCTACTCGCAAGTATTTGGCTGCGCTCTCGGCTGTCTGATTTGCCCGGCCTTGTTCGTGCTCTTGCGTAGTGCCTGGACGATCCCCACAGCTGACCCGGATGCGTTCATTACGGGATTGTATGCTCCCATTTTCCGCACACTCGCGATCGTGGCGACTGGTTCTGGGTTCGGAGCTCTGCCTAAAAACTGTCTTTACATTTGTCTCGCCTTCGTCATTCTGGCCATTCTGCTGAACATCGTCATCTTGATCTGTCAGCGTTATTGTCCCAAGATGGTGACCTACATCCCTGAGCCGTCGGCTATGAGCATCGGCATGATTGTGGGCGCAGGAGTGCCCTTAGAATTCTTCGTCGGCGGGCTCATCACCTGGTTCTGGGCGCGCCATCGACCCGAGCAGTGTGAGGAACTTAGGGCATACATTGCCTCCGGCTTCATCGCCGGCTCCGGCTTCGCCGTCGTTCTCCAAGTCATCGTCTCACTCTGCGGTCTTAAGCCAAACATTGCTGTCGGCTTCCTTACCACGAACACCACCCAGTCCTACATGGGCGCCAAGGAATGGGTCATGGCTGCCGTAGCCATCCTTTGCACAACCGGCGCAATTCTCCTCGGTGCTTACTGCTGGTTCAGAGCCGATGACGCTCCCACCGATGCCGACGAGCAGGCACGCCTGCTCGACGGCTCGCGCTTCCTTGACAACGAAGACATCATCGCCTCGCCCAGGTCGCTCTCAACCTCCTCTGAAGGATACCTCGAAGAGGAGGAAGTTTAAGTATCCTCCTCGGCTGACAACGTATCAAGCTTATCGTGCTTGGTCGAGTCGACGATCACGGGACGAATGTGCCGTGTGCCTAACTCACGACGCATGTGCTCACGTCATGGACTGGTTCAGAATTCATTCATTACTGTGCTCTCGCCGCGACGTTTCTAGGTCTGTCTGAAGATCTACCCTTCGTGGCGCGAGAACTCCGCACAATAGACCGGCTACAATATAGCTCGAGTTCTATAGGCAACCGAAGGCCCTTACTGGGTGCTTCACAAGCGATTCTATGAGGCGACTTTTTTTGTACTCGTTTTACTATTAGCTAAGAGTGCAACTATTTTATGCCAGAAGCTGTTACATGTCAAAAGCTGTCCGTGCTCACAAACCCCCTTCCCACACAACCCTTTCCCACACGCCCATTGCTGGTTGGTCATGAGTCCAAAGAGGATATGAAACAAAGTGGGTGGTAACAACGTGGGTGGTAACAACGTTCCGGAAAGTCGGAATATAAATGTTGGGGGCAAACGTTGGGGCATATCGACTAGCTAACGTCGTTTGGGTGCGTTCGGAAAGAATTCTTCGGGGTGCTGTGGATTAAAAAAACTCCTTTCTGCGGGAGCCATATATGTCGCTCCAAGTCACGAAGTACGAGATCCAGGATGACTTAGGAGAAGGTGTGAAGGACCGGTTGAAGGTGCAGTTCGGGCAAGAGTTTGTGGAGTCGTGGTCAGGCACTCGTCTGTTGTCAAAACTGGAGGTGCAGGAGGAGAGCCGTCGTCAAGGTCATGGATATTCCCTCTTGGTCCAGTTGGATAAGACCGAGAAGCGTTTTATTGTATCGGTTCCTTGCTCAAGTGTGCCTGGATTGAAGCTGGCGAAGGCTGTCGGGTTGGCACCGGTACTTGTACATTGGGCGGAAGATGTGCACAGCCCTCAAGTGCCGTCTCTGCTGGTTCCGCAGGTCCTGTTCGTGGGGGGGTCTATGGTGTCTGCTGCCCCGTCAGAGATACAGCCTTTGGTCGAGGACTTCCGGTCATCTTTATGTCTGTTATGTTCGTCGACCCTCAGTCCCGTGGCCACCCGTAGCATAGCTCTCATGCTGCGTTGTGTCGACGCCTGGTGGATCCGTCATCGAGTCAGCCGTCTGTCCCTGTGTGTCACCGCAGAAGCCCTTGCAATGTATCTCTCCCACCAGGACCTGGAGAGGTTGTCGTACTATATTTCACCCGGCTGCCACGTCTCCTTGGTCGCAGACATCTGGCCAGTAGTCAGCCACTTCGCCCTCAGAGCCATCATGCTTGGCTCACCCCAAGTTAACGAACTGCAACTTAGTCCTTTCCAAAAAGCAGCCCTCATCGGCGTGGGCTTACAACATAAAAAATGTAAGCTACATCCCATCCATACCATCCCCGCGATCCGTCGCCCAGCTTCCATCACTTTGTTGTAGTCTCCGTCGTGGCTCATGAGTACGACATACCCGTCGACCAGGTCCGAATCCATTTCAAGCTCGGCTTGAAACGCGTCCGCGACTATATAATGGCACTAAGCTCTGCAGAAATCTCCAAGGAAATTGAGCAGAAGGTAGCAGAAGCCAGGGCGGACGTTCTCAAAGGAACAGAACGGGGTACAGTAGCAGACGAGTTAATCGATGTCATGAACGACGCCGTATGACGCCGATTGGTTCCCTGTCCTAGTGACCTTTCCAGCGCTGACGATTTCATAGTCCCAGTGGCCTTGTAGTTCTAGTGGCCTTGTAGTCCCAGTGGCCTTGTAGTTCTAGTGGCCTTGTAGTCCCAGTGGCCTTGTAGTCCTTTCATATTTCCCAAAGCAATATTAGTATGAAGCATTGGTCCCGATGTACCTTCATCTTTTCTCGCAATCTACTGTGGTGCCTGGGTGGTCGAGGTAGTGGTGGTAATAACGGGTTGGTAGGTGGTCGGGTTGTAGCCTAGTCTGGTCTGGTCCGGTTCAGGCAGCTGGTCCGGGTGGGCATGTTTGATGACGCCGCTGACCACGGCGTGTAAGCCGGAGCCGGTGCTATCTTGCATATAGGCTTGGCATACCTCTTGTTTGTTTTGGTAGGTTCCATGTAGGTACGCGAGTAGATGAGAGTACTCTTCGTTCATGTACCGCGAGATGAAGCCGACGCGATTCGACGCCACGAACCAGGAGCCGAGCATGCGGTCTACCCCAATGTTCAGTTTCATGCGGCTCGGCGTAAAGCAATTGAGCGAATAGTTGTCTTTACCCCAGGGAGCGCAAACGTCCACCAGATTGCACCTGGCAGCATCAGGATCAGCTGCCCAGTCCAAGTAGATGTCGCCGATCTGGTCCATCTGCAACGTCGGCAACGCCTTGAAAATATCGCTAAAGTCAATGGCAATCAAAGCACTCCCGGTTTTTGAAGCCGTGGCAAGCGTCTGCAAACAGGAGTGTGTCAAAGTGTGTCAAAGCGCGTGTCACGGTGTGTGAGCAGGGCTACTTGGTAGTAGAAGATGTCTAGGCCAGCGGCAACAAAGGACATGTGCACGTCAATGCCACAAGCAGGCTCGACCGCTTGGATGCAGGTCAGGGCGTCCTCGTAGGTAAGTGTATGATCAGTCTGACCCGGTAGATTGGCGCATTCCGGCACCCGGTCGCAGCAGTTGTCTGGACAGTCGTAAGCGAGGTAGTACGGCCCGGTGATGGCCGCTGCATGACAGAGAAGCAGTGCTAGGCGTGCAGTTTTCGACATTAGTAAAATATGAGTTTTCGTCTGCACGAGGCCTTCGACCAAAACAGTGCTAGGTGGTGCGTCCTGGAAATGTGCCAAGTGGACGAGAGCACGGCTGACGTCTCCACCACCACGCCGAGGTCCTCCACAGGGGGCCTTGAACCGATCGCCCAGGGGGGTCCGGGAACACGTACCAGAACGGACCCGGTGACACGCACCCGAATGTCGCTTCCTCCCCAAGAACGGCCCGGACGCGCCTCGGGGAGTGAGGGCACCGAACCAAACATTACCGGCAGCATAGAACCACCGGCGACGGAACCGGTAGCCGCCAAGAATTCGGCAGCCGCGAACGACCCGGAGCACACTGAGATCCTATATTCATTGAGCGCCAACTGTCAGGGAGAAGTGACCCTCTATAAAGACAATCGGCGATATGTCGGCAAAGAAGAACCCCTCAAGCAACCCTTCCTGGTCTGCAGGTGAGTCCCTATCACCTACGCGACACCTACGCGACACCACGCGCCTAGGAACGTGCTTCTCTGGGGTGTGCTGTATGTAACGGGTACCCATTTGTAACGGGTACTCGCTTATGTAGCGTACTCGCGAATGTGACGTACTCGCTTATATAAGGTGTGCTCAAAGACTAGATGTGTTTCAGCCAGACCGGAACGACCCAAGAAATCCTACTCCTGGCCATGCTCAAAACAAAGATCGTGTTCGGGTCCAAGCCGGAGTACTTTTGGCTGTGACGGCCTGGCTACGATGAACCTTCGCTGGGGTCGGCGCGCAGGTCCTGCTTGGCTGGACTCAGTCCTTCAATGCTTTCGTGGGTGGAAAATCGGCTTTCGTACCTGCAAAACAGTTGTTGTAAATTAGCATGGCGACTTACCTAGGTGGCGATCGATCCCTGCGGCGTGGCGGCGGCCGTCGGCCGTAAGGTTCTCCACGAGGAGGCCGACGGTCGTCGTCCCTTCGGTCGTCCCGGCCACGGTCCCAGTCGTCTCTGCGATCTCTCATATCGTCTCTGCGATCTCTCATATCGTCTCTTCGGTCATGGTCTCTCGCGTCATAGTCTCTTGGGTCGTAATCGCGTCTGTCGTCAGAAAGCCTCCGGTCATCTCTCCTGTCGTCCCCCAGCTGCAATCTAATTCTCGAAGACTCGCCTTGATGCGAGGTAAAAGTCAAGCCCCGACAAACCCGGATGGCATGACGTGCCTCCTCCAGCGTCGGATACTCCACCACACCACTCCCATCCCGTCCCACATCTGCATACACGCATTCCCCGCCTTCTCTAAAATGGTCCTTCAAATCTTGCCAAGAACCAGACGCTGGTAAGCCCGAGACGTGGATCGCGTATGTACCTCGACGACTGCGATCCAGCTTTGGTCGCCGAGCCTCAAAACTACCTCCTGCCAAAAACAAGGATTCATCGGGATAGAGAAAGAGTCACGCGGGAGAAAAGACACTGGAATACGAGACATTGGGATATGAGAAAGAGCCGGTACGTCAAGGGAGGACAACATCATGGGAGAGCGGGGCCTTACTTCGAGGCGGAGGAACGGATCGATAAGGTCTCTTTTCCAAAGGAAGCTCCACTCTCACGTTCTTTCCAGCGATCTCAATATTGTCCAACTCCTTCACTGCCTGTGCCGCGCTTGTTTTATCCGCAAAATGAACGAATGCATAGCTAATAACAGATACACATGAATGCCTCTAGGTGCAAATTAATACCTCTCATCTGACACGGTCTTCTTTATGTTAATGTCCAGAACTTTTCCGATCTTTTCGAATTCTACCGCCAGTTCATCGGCAGGGATGTCGCGCTGTATACAAACATTCATTACAAACGGCCATTTGACTCACCGGTAAATTTCCAACGTAGCACCGACTCATCTCCGGGTTCTAGAAAAGTCCTGCACACGTGTGTGCTGGATGCTTTTTTGTCTATTTGCTTGTCTTTCTATTCTGTTTGTCTACTCACCGCCCCGTGACGGCTGTGCTGTCGGCGGTGATGTCTATGGCGCGGCTTTTATAGCCACCCTGTTTTAAAGACGGAGTGTTGCTCGTCATTGGTTTGTTCTGTATCGAGTGTTGGTTTGACAGATGACTTGAGCGTTGGACCTCCATGACTGGCGAGCAGTCTCGAGATGCTGGACTTTGTCGGGGAGACTTGTTTTCTTGATCGTCTTTCAACAAGCTGGTACTGCTATCGCTTCTCCCCGTGCCGGATATCCTAAAAGACCGCGAACCTGACACCTGCCCGTGCCGACCTGAGACCAGCGCCGTCTCCACCCGAAGCGGCCGGTGTGGAGGAGTCTGCCGTGTGTAACCGACCAATGCAGCTAGAGTGGACCCAGTGTGTCCTCACCTTGGCACGGAAACTAGACTAGCGGTGGTAACTAATAGCATTGTGATGGGGCTGATGTAGGCCATGGCGGTGGTCACCTTGTGGCTTATGGGTAGAAGGTTGTCTATCAAAGCAGAAAGCGGACTGTATGCCCAGTTGGAGAGGTATTTCTTCTGGAATATGATGAGAACAGGCAAGAGGCTGTCGGAGTAGAGGAAGCCGAAGGCTCCAGCGGCGACCGTGAGGCTGCAGCAGTTCTGCTTGATGTGGACGTGAGCTGCGAGGGCCATGTCCGCGAAGATCCACCGGACACAGGCAAAGACGACTGCTGACAGCAGGCCTGCTGTGAGGAGAGCCGATAGCACCATGGCTTCTGGCGAGCCAACGGTAACTGCCTCCAGCACCGGGCCAGTTTTGACCCGCAAGAAGGAGAAACACAGGGAAACGACGCGCCAGAAGCCACCCACAATGGCAGCCACAGTGGGTATGAGTTCGTATGCCTGCAAGTACGCCTTCAATGGGCGTGGCACGTAGTCTCTCCAGCCTGCATTCACAAATCCTTCCGCGGGCAGCCTTTCTCCGCTTGGTCCCACGCGGTAAAAGTCGTCCCACGGTGAGGGGGGAGGCCGAGTGAGCGGGGGACTAAAGTACTTGGTAATACCACTGAACGTCTCTTTATGGAGCGCCTCATTGTTGAAGCGGGTGGTTATTACTCTGAGATGTCCGGCCACGAACTCCACTGCCGGAGACTGGCTAATCATGATGGTGAGCAGCGGGTGTAGAATACACACGACCGCTAGTGCAAAAGAGTTAGCGGCTGCGAATAACAAGGCCTTAGTGACTACTTCTTTTCTAGACATGCCACTGACACTAGAAGCGGGACTCGGGTTCCTGAAAATCTCGCGCACACTTTGCAAGGCACTCGCTCGAAACCACGAACATCCAGTCAACCCGCAAAACACCGCCAGTGACAAGATTGTCGTTGCCGCAATGCCCACCGTCCAGTGCGGAATCCACACACTATACAGATCTTCCACCTCGGTAGCTGACACAGCCGGTGCCGGGGTGCCCAACATCATCCACAGAAACGCCCCCATCAGAGCACCCTGAAATAACAACTCCTTGCGAAATCGGATCGTACCTCCAATGCGAGCATCATTCTCTTATTCATGGAAAAAATTATTTGAACGTCTTCTGCACAGCCTTATCAGTCGCTAAAAAGGGTCACAGCGTTGAAGCGCTCAGTGAGAGTTGCTCTGGGGGAGGGAGCTGCTCCCTGGGGGAGGGAGCTGCTCTCTGGGGGAGGGAGCTGCTCCCTGGGGGAGGGAGCTGCTCTCTGGGGGAGGGAGCTGCTCTCTGAGCAGCGGGGGGGAGCTTACATTTGCCACATTCCTTGCAGGACTTGAACAACGAGTCCTGGATATCCTGGAAAAACTTCTGAACCTTCTTCACCCCCTTCTCAGTGTTCTTCACTCCTACAACAAACAAACGCTCCTTGCTGTACCATTGTGGCTGTACCACTGTTGCGATACCACTGGTGTGCGGGATCGACGTGTGCGGATCGTTAGATACCTTTCTCCATTGTGCACCCCGTGTCTTTGGCCTTAAAAGAATTTTCGGGAGTCGCGTGTGCGAGACACATGGATAAACCAGCTACTAGCTCCAGGGCTGACGGGGGGCCAGGGGCAAGGGGAACCGCAGGCACTGCTCCCTCTCGGGATTTGGGCGTTGGTTCGGAGGAACGCGCCTCTACTAATTCAACACGCGGAAAGACCCACAGTCGCAAAACTCAAGGCACCAAGCCGGAAGGTGTCAAGTCGGAGGACAAGTCAAGTGACCTGCCTGGCAAGACAGGCGATCGACAGGGCAAGTCAGGTGCCAGGTCTGCGGACGCAAAGGCCACCCGAGTTTCTGAAGGCCGCGGACCTTCCGACGGCCGCGGGCCCTCCCATGGCAATGGGCCTTCCGACGGCAAGGGGCCTTCCGAAGGGCAGTCGAGACGGCCTCGATCCCACCGACGCAAGCCGAAGCCCTCGCCCACGACTGGTGAGACGGCTGATGACGCTACTGGTGACGCTAAAGGACCGTCGTCGAACGCGTCTAAGCGGCCGGCCCGCGGACGAGGAAAAGCGGAGGTTAATCGAGACGGTCTTGAGTCCTCTGCTGCCCGTGGCGGTTCGTCCGCCCGAGGTGCAGCCCGAGGTGGTAGTCAATCGACCACCCGAGATGGTGGTCAGTCGACCACTCGAGGCGGTGGTCAGTCGACCACTCGAGGTGGTGGTCAGTCCACCCGCGGAGGGTCGGGTCGCGGTCGGGGTCGTAGTCGCGGTCGGGGTCGCGGCCGCGGAGGCCCGCTTTTCGGTGTGCCGCGAGGGGGCCGAAGTAGCGACGGCAGTGAAGAGGAGGAAAGGACGCCTGCGGTCCAGGCCTTCTTGGGCCAGCCGGGTGTTGCTCGTTCGGCGCACGCCGTTGTGAATTTGAAGACCGTGCCGTTCAATTGGGAGTTTGAAAAACGGGTGCTCAACAACTTGTATGAGCTCCGCGAAGTTGCGCAGGTTGACGCCCACGACCAGGGTACGCCTACCGAGGGTGTCAGCCTCGAGGACGTCGCCGAGTCCTCAGAAGGCGAAGACGACAGCTGTCTGGTTCCTCCGCGCTCAAAGACGGAGGAGGAGCAGTCTGACAACGAGGACGACTCCGGCTTCGAGGACGCCCTCGACGATGACCGGCAGGGAGAGGAAGAGGAGGACGAAGAGGGGGAGGACCAAGGCAAGAGTGAGGACCGGGAGCGGGGTGAGTGCGGTGGTTCGGACGAGCCGGAAAGCGAGGAGGAAACTCATGATTCAGGGGACCCTGCCGGTCGTGCCGTCCAGGACGGTCGTGGGGACCAGGACGGTCGTGGGAAGCAGGACGGTTGTGCGGAGTCGGGCCCGAAGGAAGACGGTGGCGGGGGCGTGGCGTCCGCGGCGAAGGACGGCTGCGGAATGTTGCGGGTTGGGAAGGTGGTGTTTAGCTTTGTGCTGAACCCTTCTGATCCGGATGTGCCTGTGGATATTTTGTTCCCCCAGGGACTGAAGTTCCATATTAAGTTGGACGGGTCGTATCCGATGAGCGGGCAGAGCGTTTCAGTGGATTGCGTGGTGACGGATGACGACATTGACGTGTGGGCACGACGAGTTATTCGGCAGTGGGCTCGTTGTAATTGGTCTGAATGTCAGAGGACCAACAAGCCGGTGTACTCGTTGATCAAGATGCTAGACAGGGACCTGTATACTCTGCTATTGGAGGCGGCGGAGCAGAAGTCAACGAGTACTCTTCGTGAAGGTCCGTGGAATAGCGAGGAGCAGAAGAAGCTAGAGAATGCCCTAGTCTGGTTTAGGTCGTATAGGGATCCTAAGGTGAAATGGAAGAAGGTTTCAGAGTACATGGGAACTCGTACGCCGAAGCAGTGTTATCTCCGCTTCCAACAGTGCTGTTGTGCAGTAAAGGAGTTTGAGGAAAAGAATCCGGAAGTCACCGCACAGGTGCGCGAAGATGACGAGAGTGAAGAGGATGGCACAAGACTCGAAGATCAGCTGGAGGCTAAGCAGGTGGACATCAAGGGGCAGCTGCAGACCTCGTCTGCGCTCGCTACCAAGGACGGACAATCTCTTGTCCCCGTGGGTGTTTCCATGAAAGGTGTTACGTACTTTTATTGCGGCCATCTTAGGGCCATCCTAAGCTGCGGTAAGTGCGGGAAGAAGCTGAGTTTGGATACGGCGGTCGCCCGGCCTAACAATCAAAACCAAGCCCACATTGAATACTCGAATTGCAGCAACTGTCACCTTTCTTATAAAGTAGAGCTCATCGGTCTTTTCTGTACACCGAGCGCATCTGACGGCGAGGCCTCTCCTACGGCCAAGATATTGATAAATGGCGCCAGCATTGTAGACCTGTTGCCGAGTGATTTCATGTGCGCTTGCAACACGTGTAACGCCTTCATCCGGTATTCAGAACTGCTCCCGGGGCTGACCAAGTCGGTGAACTGCCGACACTGTCATGCCAAGACCAGTTTGCACTTAGTAGGTATCAACGTCACCGGTCAACAACCTTTCGCCGCCCTCAAGGCAGACGGGAAGACGCTGCTGGCGGAACACCGACCACGGAGGGCCGTGGACGCGTACAGGTTTGTGGTTGGTCAACCACTGCCTAGAGAAGGAGCTTGCTCTCACTACAAGAAATCCCATAGATGGTTCAGGTTCCCTTGTTGCATGAAGGCTTTCCCTTGCGACAAATGCCACGACGCAGACAGCGACCACGTCTCGGACGGCATGGCCACACGCATCATCTGCGGAATGTGTTCTCGCGAACAAAGTGCACAGAATCAAGAGTGCCCATGTGGCAATGCATACAGGGCCGCTTCCACCACTCACTGGGAGGGAGGCCGAGGCTGCAGAGACTGGCAAAAAATGTCCAAAAGAGACCCCAAGAAATACAAGCTCAGGCAGAAAGAGGTCGAGAAGCTTCGCAAGAAGAAAACATAGACTTTTTAGCACTTCCGTCTTTCAACCATTAGCTTCATACCCAGATACATTACCCCACCTTACATACGTCCACTTCAGTCCTTGGTGACTCCGTCTTACGTCTGGCGCTTTAATGACCGTCTCGGCGGGGCCTTCGGAAGCACAACGTGCAATCTCGTCTGCAACCATCGGCCATGCCCACGCCACATGCACACCCGTGTTCAACTTACTCATGGATCAAGTACAACATCCAGTCACTACTCATGTGGATGTACAGCTGTGTAACCACGTCTTCATAGGGCAACAACGGCTCATTGGCTCGTCTCGCAGACACCTGCAAGCCATGGTAGCTGGGCCCGTCATTGTTTTTGCGCCCGTAAGACACCAAAAGTTCTTTTGCTTTCCTGATGATCTTCCGCGGCACAGTTATATGACGGTACACAAACTCGTGGTCGCTATACTGAGGGCTGTACAACATGGACCCTTCAATGGTCTGGTGCTCAAGGGTGTTCTCCAGCACCCACGCCTCAGAAATCGGCCGCATCTTAGGAATGTCTGTACCTGCTTTCTTCATATTTGTCAAAAACATTTATTCTGCTATTTCAGTGGTAGCCTGCTCCGCCCTGCCTTCGCTTGACTTATAACTCACGCGGTCTGGACACTTCACGTGCACTTGACGAATCGAAAACTTGTACGGGTCCAACCCCAACCACGTATCTTCCATGTGCGTATGCGAACACTCACAGCCCACCGCCAAACGTCCCCTCATCGCAAAGGAGTGCTCGCCACTTGGGTGATACTCCGCTGGCTTATCTCCGAAGTCCGCGTCTTCTAACTTATTCAAATCCGCCGCCACGAACATTATGTCGACCGTGCCACCCAAGAAGTCGCTGTCATCTTCGTCTTCGCCCGTTGTCCCTGCGGTGCCTTCCTCCTCGGTCGAAGCCGGTTCCTCAGCCTGCAACACTCTAAGGGGAGGAGATCTTACTTCATCCAGCGCAGAATCTCTCAAACGCGGAATCTCACGAACCACCCCACCAGCTACCGCCTCCGCCGGTTTGGGGGTCGTCGTCGTAGAAGTAGCTGCTCGCGTCGTCGCCGGCGGTGGAGTCGTTATTCCAGGACCTCCAGAAGTTGGAGGTAATGGTACCAAGCTTCTGCTAGCAATAAGTTTGCATTTCTCTACACCTCCGTTCATCAACGCAAAGTTTTCTTCTTCCTTGAACCCATTCTATTAGAAATCTCGTTAGTTGGTTCCGAAGCTTACCTCCTCCATGTTTAGTAGATAGACGACATCCGGCTCATTGTATCTACCCGACATAACATGCAAGGCCTTCGCCAGGTTCACGTTTGTCCCGAACGGGGTCTTTGCGAACGCTAAGTCCCCTTCCTTGGGAAGCAGAGCGCCAATATTAGGTCCATCAATATCCTCGGGGTCGTACGGACCAAAAAGAGCGCGATCCCACGCGCTCATGTCCACTCTGACGTTTCCGGATGCGATATCTGTAGGCGCAGAGTGAACTGCGATAAGGCAACCAACTAACGCCGGCGATCTCAGCATTCTTCCGATATTGCGCACACGCGTGTGCGAAGTAGCGCGCCAGCATTGCCACCTAACTAAATATGCCATTGATTGACAAAAAAATGATCAGGAGGAGGTCTCGTCGAAATCCGAGTGAGAAAGAGACGAATCATCACGCAATCCGAAATCGGTAAGAGCATTAGGCAATGGCCCTCCAAGATCTTGATTCTAAAAGAATATGAGATTATTCCGTATGTAGAGCTGATCATCACTCATTGGAGGCCCTGAGCACTTACTCTGATGGTCTGGATGTAATCGACATGCCTCGCAACCTTATCCCAGTGCTTTGTTGATTGTAATTTTTCATTGATCCAAGAGTCGTTGGAGGCTAGTGCTATTAAATCCTCCGCTAACCTCATTATATGCCAAGTATTACCACAAGGGTGTTTAGCTTGTCGTTGTCGTCGTGATTGAGGGTTAGTTTCGCTTCGAACTTTACAGCAATGCCGCGCGACTTTGACCGTTTTCGGAATAAATTCCGTATCGAATAATAGCATCCGGATGGCTTCCTCTGTAGGAGACTCGACAATCGTGGATAAAAAAGAGCTAGAATGCAATGAGCTGAATTTGGGTGGCTGATGCAGGGGGTGTTTTCGTCGGAGAGTGTTGGGAGAGTGATTTAGTGTAATAATATCTCTCCTGCTTACTGAATGGTATTGTGAAGAATAGTACACCATTTGAAGTTGAAGAGTAGTCGGACACAGGAGGGAATGAATTTGTATATGACGTTTCTGGTGTGTGGGGAGTTGATTTTAGCCAGATGTACAAGTACTCTAGAGTATGCGATGATTTCTTTGCCGACTCGTGGTTTTTTTTTGTTAAGATCATTCATCATGTCTTTGGTCTTGGTACTTTTATCATTGAGAGTGTTTAGCATGTGGGTCATGAGAGGTCGGTTACATAGCCTCTTAACAAAGGCCCAGCAGGCATCTTGAGTACCACGACTGACCGCTGCAGTGATGTTGGAACTATTATCCGTCACTTTACGCACCTCCTGAACCGGTAGCGCAAGGTTCTCTTCAGTCGTCTCAAACTCCGGATCAGCCGGGGCAATCACCGGAGTCAAAGTCACTACCGACGCAACACGCGTACTCCAACCGCCTTCCACAATATCCTCACACTTAGCCAACAGATTCACCACCACTCGCAACAACGGAGCCTTCCACTCAGGATAGGGCGCGTGACACTCCAATTGCTCCACCAACTTGTCCACAAACCGTGGGCCCAGCATAGCTTGCATAAACTCGTCGTACTTGTCAAACATAATGTCTATCCAAACATACATGTATCGACACACAACGGTGTATCCCAACAGTGTATCTCAACGCACAGATCTTACAAAGCAATTGACATATAAGGTCCGCCAGATTATCAGCCCTCTACAAACACACGCAAGTCATTGGTCCCCACCTATACCCCTAGAGCACCAGTATTAAGCATACAGCATATGTATCGACGCAGTCGCCGAGTTGGATGAGAAACGAAGTGGCCATGGCGCTACAGAGCTCGGACATTTTGGGGGTCACGCTGAGCATGATGAACTGTCGAAAAGCGTCAACGGCTTGCTCGTCGTGTGTGTATAAAAGGAACCTAAACAGAACCAACCGTTCGCAATGTGTGAAGCCTCACATTTGGGAACCTGTCTGTGGGACTCACACGAGAAGATCAGGAACTCGGCAAGCGAGGGACTCGCCGGGCGGGGGATTCGTCGGGCGAGGGATTCGCCGGGCGGGGGATTCGCCGGGCGAGGGATTCGCCGGGCGGGGGTGTAGTTACCAGTTGGTCAGGTTGTCCACGGAACAGACGAGCAGCCCTGGGTTGACGGGGGGAATCGCCTCGCGCAAGATGGGAGCGAGGACCTCCGCTGTGCCCACAGCATCGAACGCCATGAACCGCAACAATCGACTCCAAAACTCCGGCGCCGTCTTGCTACCTAACACGTCGGGTTCCCTGCAAATGGGTGTGCACAAAATCCTCCAAAACTCCTCACTCGTAATACAGGCACTGCCGAAACATTGTTAAACCAGGATTCGAACCATCCGCCTTCCAGATAGGGGTGGTCGGGGGGG